GCTGGGAGAGTTGGGGCTGTTCAGCCCGGAGGAGAGAAGGCTCTGGGGAGACCTTGTGGCCTTTCAGTGCCTAAAGGGGGCTTATAAGAAAGATGGGGACAATCTTTTTAGCAGGGCCTGTTGGGATAGGACAAAGAGGGATGGGTTTAAAATAAAAGAGGAGAGATTTAAACTAGATGAAAGAAAGAATTGTTTTACAAGGGTGGTGAGACACTGTCACAGGTTGCCCAGAGAGGTGGTAGAAGCCCCACCCCTGGGAACATTCCATGTCAGGTTGGATGGGGCTCTGAGCAACCTGACCTAGTTGAAGATGTCCCTGTTTACTGCAGGAGGGTTGGGCTAGATGACCTTAAAAGGTCCCTCCCAACCCAAAGCAGTCTATGATTCTATTTAATAAGTTTTCATCTGTTTATTCACAAAGCTCAGATTACATTTTGCATTCTCCAACAAATCAAACGGCCCTTTTTTAATATGTGTAAAAGTGAAATATATGCACTTACATAAACGTTTAGTTATAGATTCTTATGTGTTTGATTCTGGTTTTAATCCTGTCAAAAGACTGGACAAAACAAAATGTTCTGATACCTTCATTTGGTTTTTAAATTTTATTGACCGAACAAAATGCTTGGTCAGTTGTTGACCGGAGTTTAAATCTAAATGATAGGCATTGAAGGCGAAACTGTCAGGCGTGAGAAGTACACAACAAAAGACTAAACACATGCTTTTTCAAAGTATGTCTTTTGTTTCTTGTGGCACGAGTTTCTTACTGCTTAATCCTGTGACTTCATGGTTTATTTATCTTTGCAGGGTTCTTGCACAAGTCTCCTGTGAGCTTGTTCCCCCCAAGCCAAACCGGCCCACAGAAGGTATACTGTTCTTCAACCTGGAGCTCTCTCCGATGGCTGCCCCTGGTTTTGAGCCTGGCAGGTACATAGCTTTCTTAAAAAGACTGCAGAAGGATAACTTAAGAGCTGCTGCTTTAGTAAATACAAGTATGTAGCATAATCATATTCAGGTTGGGTTCATTTTGTTTTAACAGGCAATCAGAGTTACTGGTGAAACTGAACAGACTGATAGAGCGGTGCCTGAGAAATTCCAAATGCATAGATACGGAATCACTCTGTGTTGTTGCTGGTGAAAAGGTACGAGAAGCTGCTCGATTCATGTGCTTTTAAATTAAAAGAGACATCTAGTCTGTTTTTAAGGTGGTCTCGGTCTTGTTTTGGAACTTAGAAATTCTGATGTTAGGCTGATGTGAAGATCCATGCATCTGGCTTTACAGGTATTTTTACCTCATGCATCTATGCAGGCTTTCTGAAGCAGCTGGGACCCTGCACACTTGAATATTTCTTTGCAGAATAGAGTTTAAATTGTACTTGCACATTACATACTTTGTCACAATTAAATGTAGCACGCTGGGCATCTTGGAATATACCAAGATCTTTCAGCTTCTTAAGCAAATACCTGAAGAATACGTGCCAGTTCTTTTTACACTTCAAAAAACAAAATTGTTGGGAAAACCCATAAGTTCTGTAGACTCATGTCACAAATGACCAAGAGGTTTTGTGTGCTTTTTTTCCCCCCCCAGGTTTGGCAGATTCGTCTGGACTTGCACCTGCTAAACCACGATGGCAACATCATAGATGCCGCCAGCATCGCGGGCATCGTGGCGCTGTGCCACTTCCGCAGGCCAGATGTGTCTGTGCAAGGAGAGGAGGTGACTGTGGTGAGTTCTGCCAGATCCTGGACATACTGGGGCATCACAGGTGGCTGCTCCTTGCTGTCTGAAAGGGAGAATTCAGTGTTTATCTGCTTACACAAATATTTAAAATACAAAAGCTTTTGTATTTTAAGTTTTAGGATAGAGGAGGTGTTATTCAAAATGTGAAAGGATAATAAGGAAGCCTGCTGTATACAGGATTTTATCGACCTGAGTTTATGGGAATCTCAGTTGTAAAAGTGAAGTATTTATACCGTATTTTGACCAAATCAAGCATCAAGCTGATGAATGTTGCCATAGTTACCTACATAGGTCGTAAATGGTAAGAATTGCTGAACAAGTAAAAGGATTTTTTAAAAATATTTAGATGACTAAACATTTGTTAAGCTTTTTTTCCTTTATTTTTTATGTCTTTAATTGTCTTTGTACAGTGCATACTTTTAAAATTAAATGTGTTTTGTAAATAATTGTTTTCTGGGCCAATTCTTTTCCAAGTACACTCCTGAGGAACGCGATCCTGTCCCCTTGAGTATCCACCACATGCCCATTTGTGTCAGTTTTGCCTTCTTCCAGCAAGGGTAAGATTTACAAGTCTTTTGACAGAAACAGCTTATTGTTGATTCTGCAGAAGTTATTTTAAAAATAGAAGAGTCCTAAAAATACTTACATTGACAACAAGCTGATTTCTTAAAACACTTTGTCTTCAGTGAGACACCCTGGGGAAAACTTGTGGGGGAGCACGGGCAGATGACACTACACCCATAATTGCTAACATGTAAACCAATTCCTTTCAGTGTTCAACAGGTAGTAACTCATGTCAAACTTTTTACTCTTGTCTTATATTTAAAAACTTGATCCTAGGACCTATTTGCTGGTGGATCCGAGTGAGCGTGAGGAACGCGTAATGGACGGCGTCCTGGTGATTGCCATGAACAAACACCGTGAAATCTGTACCATCCAGTCCAGCGGAGGGATCATGCTGGTAAAGGATCAGGTAAATCTTTGCCTCGACCAGTCTTTCCTTCTAGCTCCTGTGCTGTAACCTTGATGTGGAAATACCGTTGATGTTTGGAAGCTGAGAAATCAGTTGATGTCATTGGAAAAGATTACATATTTTTAATCGTAGCAGAAGAGCTGTAGCACTGTGTACTGAAGAAGAGATGTAGGCAGATTGATTGGTCAGATAGACATCTGATAAAGTCTGTACATTTACGAAGTCTGTAAATTAATTAGGATTGCACAGTAGAGGCTGTTGTATTATAGTCCTTTGGCATCAGCTCGTAGCTTATCCAGCTCCTCACATTGTAAGTGTTCACGATTCATATGTCGTTCTACAGTTTTAGTTAAAAACATCTTGCTTTCATGATTGTGAACTGTCATTGTCTGTATAACAAACAGGTTCTGAGGTGCAGTAAAATAACAGCTGTTAAGGTTGCAGAAATAACAGAACTCATTCAGAAAGCCTTGGAGAACGACCAAAAAGTTAGGTGAGTGTTTCAGGAAGGGAAAAGGGTATTTTTTAAGAAATGTGCTGAAAAGTAATGTCAACCTGTAGCGTGAACAGCAAATTGTTTTCACTTGGGATTTATTTTAAATAGCAAGTATCTGTATATTTGAGCTTGAAAAGAAAAAGAGTTTTTAGGGGTAAACATTCCTGACATCACCCCTGTCGCTGAATGCCTAGGAAGGAAGGGGGGAAGTTTGGCTTTGCAGAATCCATACCAAATCAGAAGATCACTGCTTTCAAAATGGAGAGTGCTGCTGTCGATACCAACAACGTGGAAGAACAAGCGGAAGAAATCATCACGAAGGCCGACCCTCCCTCAGAAGTGTATCTTTTCTGGTGGTTACTTAGGCTTCCCATCCCCTGCGTTAGTACTGCTAGAAGCTAAACACACGACCAGGATTGCTCACAGCTTAGGTAGCCTCATACCCTTCAGAGGAAACACAAGCATCACACGGGTTTTGGTTCTAATTGCTTTTAGGTAACTTAATTCCTGGCATAAAATGCAAAACTGAGGTCTGAAGTGGTTGATTGTTACAGGAACTCGAGAAGAAATACTCTCTCAACTCTACTTTAAGGGTGTTCTTTCTCCCCTGGGGAGAAAAGATACAGCTTAAAAACCAACGAGTTAGCTCTCAGAATACAAAGAGTTTACCAGCAAACACCAAGATTTTTCTTAACAACTTCAGTTTTGCCAAACCCATATTGCACACTCCTGGGACAGCCCAAATTGGGGAAGGAATAGAGAACTCCTGGGAAAACCTTGAAGAATCTGAGAAGGAAGAAGCAGCAGAAGAGGACGGTGAAAGTGAGGCCACTGCTTTTGATTATCAGAAAATGGAAAGCGAGGATACGAGTATGATGAAGGAAACTAACATGGGCAAGTATTGATTTGTCTTGATATCAGATACACTTCTTATATCATTTTATTAACAGTCTGGAATGAAAATTAAAAAGACGTGCTTAGCAAGAAAGGAGAGCCATTGTAACCACTTCCCTACTTGAGAGTTACACTCACTTGCTATTTCCACTTCACGCGGTCACTTGTTTTCTTCAAAAATAGTATATGGAGGTCTCCAAATTAAGCACTGGCCATTCTGAATGCTTCTTTAAAAATGCTGTAGTTATTAGTACAGAAGTTGTTTATACAAAACCAATCGTCAGTTTGTGGGCTTGTTTCTTTCTTTAGATAAAACTACTGTACTGTCCAGCAGTGAAGAGGATGATGTTGTTATTCTGGAACCACAGGAACTACCAAGGAAAACAAGGTAACCATCACGTGAAATTAGGAGGGGAAAGGAGTTTCTAAGGATTTGTAGGAAGCACAGGATTTTGGCAAGGCCAAGAAAGGTCTCGGTTGATCAAGGGGAATACCTAGATAGCTGAGAGCCAGGAAGTTAAAATCTGGGCTAGTTTGCTGCTGTCCTAGGAGGCCGGTTGTCTTGGCTGGCCTGCAGCCAATAGATATTTATTTGATAATAGTTATTTGATTCATCTTCATTCCCTAGGGAGCAATAGGGTAAGAGTGGCCTTGAATCAGCTGCTCCTTAGAGGGTGCAGAGACTCTGCGCTACAGCTCATCTGGAGTGTTATCTCCCAGAAGGGAGATCTGTTGCTGTGCCCCTGCACTAGCCATGGAAACCCTTGCTGTTGTGTGTAGGCTTTCTGAGCTTTGCCCCAGCCTGGTGGACAGTTGCCCTGTTAGGGATAGTCAGCCTGTGTTCTTCTGAAGTAAAACTATTCAGTAATGTTTCTTTGATACAAATGTTGTTTGATCACAGGGCACAGACCAACTTGAAAGAAGCAAATACAAGTAAGAAAGCTTTTAACAAAAAGAGAAAAAAGAAGAGAGCTGCTCCTTAAAGCCATCATCCAGCCTTCAGAAATGCTGTATAATACATAATTTGGCCTATCATTACCCAGCTTATTTTTGTAGATAATTTTATCTCCTCCTACCCCATATCTGGTCATGCTTTTATGTTTTTTATAAAACTATTGTACACAGCTTTAAATAAAAAATAATTGCATGTAAGTGAAATTTCTTGGTTAGCACCCAGCTGCAGCAGAAACTCACTAGTTCCAGCTTGAACTGACTGAAATTTTACAACTAAGATAGTTTTCTTAACAAACTGCTGTTACTGAGGTGAGCTGCATACGGTCAGCATTCTGCTGGTAAAAAGAACTATGGTTCAAATTTAATGCCAGGAAAAGCTTCTTTAGGTTAAGGTTGCTGCTGCTACACCTCGGAAGCATTTCATACCTTGGAATGTTCTTCAGGGTGGGAAGTGGTGTGCTGGGACTAAGACCACCTTGCCCATCTTGCCTTTCAGTGCTTTGTACAAAACCCAACAGAAATGCAGGTGCTGGACCACAGCATAGAACTTCAGCAAAATGCTCAGAGAGAAGCAGCTTGTAGCTCAGAAATAGTTTCCTCAAAAGTTTAATTAGATATTACATGCAACAAACAGGAAAGGGTCTTGAACTGTATGAAAAGATTTATGCTCTGAATTTAGAATGGGCCGAAACAGAGACGAGGAGGTTTCTAAAATACCTGACTGAGCTGCTTCACTTGAAGACCAAGTCAAATTTGAAACATGCACATATTTACAAGAGCACAGTAGGACTATTTTACATGTGATGTCAATATTTCAGGAAATACAAATGGAAGTTACTGTTGCAGATATTACATTCCCCTAATCAGGGTTAGAATTTCTTGTAAAAATAATTGCTCCCACCCGAGCAAAGCTTTAATCAAGTCGTGCTTGCAGAAAGGGACAAGCATAGAAAGCCCTGTTCCTCCAGGAGCCAATCCAGTCCATTTTCGTAGTGTCAGTTCTTCCAACCCGAAGACTCTGCCAGGAGCACGGAGGAGGGAAAATTCAGTTTCTCCTTCCTTCTGCAGTACCATGAGACCTTGAACTTCTTCAGGAAAAAGAGCATTGTTCTTTACACTGTTTGTCTCTTCACACATAGCTTGTCATACCCTGCATTCCTCAGAGGCTTTATTCTGAGAGGACTAGAAGATACAGTGGGTAGGGCAAACCAGTACAGTACAGCCCAGGGGATGTGGTTCAAAGCTTAGCAGCAAGCACTGATACCATCCCATATTAACTTTAGAAAATGAGAGGATGGAAAAAGATGTTACTTGGTGCACAGCAAAGGCTGTCAGTGAGGCAGGAGGAATGTAGATATACCAGCCCTTGACTGAAGCATTTTCTTTTTTCAAGTCATAGTGGTGTGCTGAAAGTAAAGCTTAGAGAGCAAGGGAGAATTTTTCTCTGTGCTGTAGGAAAAGTAACAGAACAACTTCCATTCAAAACAGAGCAAAGAAGCATTTAATTCAGCAGTATATTAATACTATAAACCCCTGACATCCTTAAGTACTGCTGCTTGCTCTTTTCTGGGAAAAAACAATTCATAAGTTTCCTTTAAATTACTCCTCTTCCCACGTTTCTATTGATTAGCAATCTCAGAAAGTTTCTGGCACACACCACAAGAAGGGAGGAGGAAGGCAGAACCCAGTTTGTCAGGAAGAGCATCGTGCTCTGTTGTCTTCAAACAACTGCCAGACAGCTTTCAGCATCAACCTTCAAGGGCACAAGCTGCAGCTGTGGGCACCACATTCTTTATAGAGACTTCCTCTGCTGAAAGGTTAGAGCATTCCCAACGCTAAGCACCAGACATGATAGATTGCACATTTTTTTCCCCAGCTAGTTTCAGCTTTTCAGTGGCAACCAACTGAAATTCAGCTAAATCAAGGCTATGGGAGAACATGGTAGAACAAAGAAAGAGGGTTCCTCATTAAACATGTATATAAGCCAAGTGCATCCTAAAGCCAAACTCAGACTGGCCAGAAGAGGTAGCCTCTGCTGCATACTGTTGCCTGAATAAGCCACCACCGCTGCTCAACTCAACTGAGTTTTGTAACCAAGTTGGTTTGCGGAGAGCCCAGGCTGCAGAGCAGAACAGTCAAGTGTTGGTTGCCAAGCTGAGACGTGAGCTGCTTCACTATAACGTGTGCTTGTCAGCTTGACAGAGGGCTGGTTTTGAAAATTTAATGACCCACACTGTAGCAGCTGTTCAGTGCTGGTGAAGAATTCACACTGCGACCTGCTGGGTGTCCATCTACCTGGACAGACAGCACCGAATCAACTTCAAGTGGATGCAGCACAGGTTTCACAGGGCAGCCCTTGCCAAAAAGCTTTAGAAATGAACAAATGCCAGTTTAAGATGATAGTTACTACCCCTCAGGGGTTTTAAGGCAAGACCACCAACATAAAATGTAAAAATTGTTTATTAGGCAACCCGTAAAGGGCTGAAGTGAACCGACTTCCACACACTCACTGCTTTACATGCAACGAACAGCAGGTACGGGGCAGCACAGCTGCGGTGGCAGGGGTTGAAGGGAAACACCCACCTCAAATGCCAATTAGGCACTAGATTGCTCAGCAACACTTCTAGAACTAAGGCAGAATAAGACCAGTTGGTCTACATTTCCACCACGTGCTGCAGAGGAACCCTTTCCAAGCGAGAGGGATGTAGAGTTTGTACTGCCTTGCACAAGCCCATCCACACCAGTGACATCCCCACTTCACCTTCCTGCAGCTTAATCCCTCCACCACCCCTGAAGAAGTAAACAGATGGAGGACTAGATTTTTTTTTTTAGCAGATACCAATGGGCTTTTGGGACAGCTAGAACAATCAGGGAAACTCCGTAGGTTTAAGTTAGTCCCAGTTTTACACTTTGACTAGAAAATACCCATGTCAAAACCATTTTCTACATCCTGGAAAAGGGGAGTGTGAACTGGCAACACTCGTTCTAGCCAGGCAGTCCCCGGAGCAGAGCGTTCAGCCTTTCACCCACTGGGGATCTGACAACTCATTCCGTAGCAGTCGAGGCTCCCAGTAACTGGCACATCCTGAAGAGCCTCACGAGAGTCAGTTCCAGCAAGGTGTCCTCGGAGCTACCTATTTTTTTTCCAGTGTTAGAGCCATTAAGCCACATTTCGGGTCTATGCTAAGTCTCAGTTTAAACTAGACGGTATAAAAATGCTACAAATACTGCTGTGGAGTCCAAGTCATTCTTACTTGGAAGGAGAAAAAGGCCTACTGTAAGAACACCCTGCAAATATTAATGTTTAGTCTATCATTAGATAAGGCAGTCTCAGACATCACTTGGTCTGCATGGTTAATTCCCTGCCCAAACAGAACATGTTGATAAAACCCCAAGCTAAATATAAAAGATTGCATGTACAAAAGATTTACATTAAAATGACATAAAACTAACTTCATAATTATGCTAATCAAAATATGTACTAGTATTTAGGAGTGATCACATCTAGGATTTCAAGCCAGGTTATAAAACTGTACATCATTCTCTTGTAATATACATCTCTTTAAAAGATCAGTCTCGTGATCGTTAGGATAAGTTTAGTGTCTCTGGTGGGTCAATGAGCGATACTCCATGGTACCTAGAAAGGGAAGAAAAGAGGCAGGATGTCACTGTGCTCCAGCCCCCTCTGCCAGAAAGAAGAGCTCATGTACTGCAACAAAGCACGCTTCTCACAAGGCGGGAAACATTTTGGGGCTAGTCAGCTGCCATGCCCACGTGGATTTTTAGGAGCATTAGGTACCATCTCCCACCTACCAACTGTAGGAATGTCAAGAAGATTCCTCCGGTTTCCAGCTGAGCGTTGCGGTAGCGGTACCGGGCGTGGGGGTGAACAGAGCTGCTCAGCAGAGCAGCAGGCGGGCTCGGGGAGCCTGGTCACCACCTCACTTACGGGGTACATTGGGTTACTTCAGCCTGGCTGAAGACCCGAGAGCCCCCCAGCCCTGCTACGTAGTTAGGTGCTAGGACAGCTTGGGCTTTATTCACCAGCTCATTGTATGTCTCCACAGATACTCACTTTGTACTCTTGTACTTTTCCCTTATGGACTGTTGCATGTGCTGTGGTGCTTTGAGGTAGGTCTTGTGTAGGTCCATGAGGCATGGCTTGATGTCTTCGAGGGTGTAGCCTGTTACCTTGCATAAGGATTCAGGCTGAGGAAAGAAGGAAAGGAAGAAGGACATTTGAACATTTCTATTTGCTTGTGCCCACGATTCACTGGTAGAGTTTTAAGCTTCCTGTTGTAACTCTGTTGTTCTAGTAGGTTGGCAGAGAATAATTTTTCCAAGCACAAAGTGGTTGATACTCACTGCTCGGATTTCAGCAGTTCCTTCCAAGAAAAGGTGTTGTCCACCCCCCTGCCATTTTTCAAATACCACAAGGAGCAATCTCTAATTAACAGCTTCTGAGTGCAGGGGGGCTGCAATTCCTGCACCTAGAGCTGTAAACAAATACACTAAACATGCATAAAAAGGTGCATGAAGGCTCCAGTTTTGGTGCTACCTACCCAGGTTTGTCCAGTGATCGTGTAGTCTGCTAGATGAAATGCTGCAGCAGCAATAACTGATGGCAAGTATTTCAGGTAAGGATCAGCATCAATTAAACTCAGCTCCCCAAGGTACTGCAAGGAAAACAAGAGACAGGGAATCACCTGCTTCCAAAAGGAAATAAAGAAGCATCTAACAGTTGCATTAGAACCCTAATTTAAGCTTGGAGGAACAGCTTTAATAGCTTCCACTTGCTTGCTCTTTTAGCATCTACTGTTAGCTACTCTCAGTGTTCCCAGCACGTGCTTGTTCAACACCATGTTTCATATTTAGAGGTAAGTAACATCCAGAGGGAAGACAGACCCATAGTCAGGTCTGACCTTTGCACAAGGGGGTGAAGGCCGCTGTTGAGGAGCTCTGGTATCTGCCATACACTTGGGATTTAATGTAACTTTAGCAGAAACGTTTTCTGTGCTCTGCTTGAGAA